AGAGAGAAAAGGGACAGGGAAGGAGTATTCAGAAGGTGTCAAGTGGTATCGACAATAGAGAAAGTTTTATTTCTTCTATATATATAAAAGAATGTTTGTCTGTTCTCTATATATTTTACCTCTGTAATAACTAGCGTCAACAACGTTTCGATATCATACCCGTTGGTCCAGAGCAATGTTAAGACAGGGTCGGTGACAGCGGCAGGGGTGGGATGAGGAGTTAGGACGAAATTCTACACAGGTTATGAGATACTGCAATTTTCACCAAGCTTTCAAAAATTTTATAGTATTTGCTACGATTGTTACAATATCCACATCTTACTGTTACTTTTTGCATGGGGTGTTGGTATGAGGTATGGTAATGGGCATGAGTAAAGAGAAAGGCACTCACACTCTTACACTATTTGCTGAATTATCGGATTTAAGGATAGATGTAAGTGTATGCACGGCGAGACGTGTAGTGGTAATAAATGGAAAGTTCTCAAGCATATCCTCTATATTTTCTGTCGTTTTCTGACATGGTAAGTTTTCAGTATGGAGGCTTCCCGAGCAACGTCGGGTATTACCGCTAGTCTTCTTTAATATAGAACGTCTTGAAGAAACATAGTAAATTATTCAACTTCACTTATCACATTTTATTATTTTATTTAAATGAATCTATTTAATCTTCTAGGACTGTTTCATTCACTTTGTACTTTTGAAAGATCAATAAAATCCAATTAACAGAATGAGTCCATAATTAATCATCATGTACTATGCTTATAAAACATATTCGATTGCTTTATGTGTAAACTTTATTATTTTATTGTTTAACTTATACTCTACGTTCTCTTAAATCATTAAAAACACTAAATGAATCCTTCCACAATAAACCTTTAGATACTTTATGAAAAAAAAATTCTCAAACTTAGGGATAGTAGAACTCATATATTTGGTGATAGCACTCAGTTCCTCCTGGCACTACTTTGGTTATGACACTAATTGCTCTATGTGTTTCTAAAACCAAAAAAAGATAGAAAATTAAGCAAAGTTTTATTGAAACCATCGATCAAATTCATAATGTTTTCAAAATCTTTCTAGTCAAAAAATGAAATGATTAGAAGAAAATGATAAGAATGAAAGTCTCGTTTACAAGATATTTTTTCCTCTATCAAATTAAATAAACAACAGAATAGATCATGAAAGAATAACTTCTTGTCTCAAACATCTACTTTGAATACTCTCATGATTTTTTGAAATTATACATAAGAAAGCTTCTATGTAATTCAATTGCTTTATTAAAATAATAATTCGATGATAAAAATTGATTGTTTGAATAAAACATGAAATCATTGTTTAAAAAAGAAAGATAAGTAAAAGAAAAAAAAAGATCTCTTAAAACGAGTTTTTCTGTTCAATAAAGAAAAAAGAAAGCGATTTTTAATTTGAACTCTCGTATATTTTTATGAATTCATATTGTCTCATTATCTTTTTCTTTATTTAAGTTCGACCAGATTATGTAGAAAAATTCTATGACTTTTTACCTTCTCGACGGCCGAAATATTTACAAACATCCGAATCGATTGGTATATACTTAGAAATACAACAATCTTATACGAGAAAATAAATGAATAATATAATTCTTTCTTTTTAGCTCAACATGCCGCCGTCTTTGAGCAGGATCTTTGTCAATTGGTCGAAAAATTAAAAGAATTTGTCTTTCTTGATATTCATGGTGAAATTGATTATAAAAAAGTTGAAGCTTATCGATCAATGGTTCAAGTTCGCTTTCCTCATAGTCGAATAGATGTTGAAACATCAAGATTTCGTCTTTGGCTTTAATTTTCTGTTTGTTATATACAACAGATGTGTGTTAAAGACAATCATCATAGCTTACTAGTTATTTTTTTTCTACTTGTCTTTCTTTAATTTTCTAAACTAAAATAATTACATTCACTAATGAAATATTGGTATTGTCTTCCAAATAATATCTCGTAATTTTCTGGAGCATTCTAACATAATAACTAGAAGAAGACCAGAAGAAACCCAACTTATTCTGTAAACATTCGAGGTCTTCTCGAAAATGTTGAAACTACTGCTAGTGCAGATGTAAGTATCCTTGGAGAAGGTTTCAAAGGGATTAAACCTTCTGATCCTGACTGTGAACAGAAAAAGGTGTCAAAAGAAATTCTTTTAATTATTTCAGCTATCAACTTATTATTTT